CTTGCAATATCAAATATCAGTTTTGATCAAGATCAGAAAAAGGATGATGACCTTAGCCTTGTGAACATTAAATTTGAGCAGAGCAGTTGTGAAAGATGACATTTTCAGCAATGGAAACAAGAACTTTGATCAAAGACGGAGTCAATTGGATCTTGCTCGCATGATTATCTTGCATGGATATCCATTGACTATGGTCGAGCATGTTGGTTTTAAAGTATTTGTGAAAAATCTTCAGCCACTGTTTGACCTTGTGACAGTGAATAGCATTGAGGCTGACTGCATTGAGCTCTATGAGAAAGAGAAACAGAAGATGAATGAAATGTTGGATAAATTACCTGGTAAAATCAGCCTTAGTGCTGATGTGTGGATGGCTATGGGTGATACTGAGTATCTGTGTTTGACAGCAAATTACATAGATGAATCATGGCAGTTGAGAAAGAGAATCCTAAATTTTATCATGATCGATCCTTCTCATACTGAAGACATGCTTTTGGAGGCTATTACGACGTGTCTGATGGACTGGGATATTGACCGTAAGTTATTTTCCATGACATTGGATACTTGTTCCACCAATGATAACATCGCCAAGAGAATTGGTGAGCGTCTTTCACAGAATAGGTTCCTTTATTGTAATGGTCAACTTATTTGATATACGCTGTGCTGCAAATGTTATTAATATAATGGTTCAGGATGCTCTGGGAGCAGTAAGTGACATAGTCAATAAGGTTCGAGAAAGTATTCGTTATATTAGAAGTTCACACTCTGTATTGGAAAAGTTCAATGACTTGGTTAAAGAAGTTGGGATCCAGAGTAAAAAATATTTATTTCTTGATAATCAAATGCAATGGAATTCCACCTATTCAATGCTTGAGACTGCCTTGGAATTCAGGGATGTACTTACTCTTCTACAAGAAATGACAATGCGTACAGAATCAGTCTTTCCAATGTAGAGTGGGAGAGAGCCACTGCAGTCACTAGTTACTTGAAATATTTTGCTGATGTTACAAATGTTCTCACAAGGAGCAAGTATCCAACGGCAAACATTACTTCCCTGAGCTTTGTGATGTAAAGTTGCAGTTGATGGAATGGTGCAAAACCTCAGATGAATGTATTAATGGTTTGACGTTAAAGATGAGAAGCAAGTTTGATGAATATTGGGAGAAATGCAGTTTAGGCTTGGCAGTTGCAGCAATGTTAGATCCTCGATTCAAGATGAAATTGGTAGAGTATTACTACCCACAAATCTATGGTAGCACTTCTGCTGGTCGCATTGATGAGGTCTTTGATGGTGTGAAGGCCCTGTATAATGAGCTCTCAATCTGCTCCCCATTAGCTTCTTCTCATGATCAGGGATTAGCCTGGCAGGTTGGGAATGGGACGCTTTGTTTACCTGGTAAGGATTCGAGGGATAGATTGATGGGGTTTGACAAATTCCTCCATGAAACTTCTCAGGGTGAAGATGTGAAATCGGATTTAGAAAAATACTTAGAAGAACCTCTCTTTCCACGAAATGTTGATTTCAGCATATTAAACTGGTGGAAAGTACACACTCCGAGGTATCCTGTCTTGTCCATGATGGCAAGAAACGTATTAGGGGTTCCAATGTCAAAGGTTTCACCAGAGTTGGCCTATAGTAATAATGGAAGAGAACTTGATCGTGATTGGAGTTCACTTAACCCTGCCACTGTTCAAGCCTTGGTGTGTTCACAAGATTGGATACAGGGTGAACTGGAAAGTTAAAGAACTGCTTTTCTCCTGCCTTTTGACTTGCATATGTTGATTCTTCTCTTAAGAAATTCCTTTGTAAGTTATATCTCCTAACGTTACAAGTCAGTTATCCTTAAAATTATGTCATATTCTAGTTTTATCCATCCTTGTGCATTTAAACAAGTTGATTTCTTAAGTCTTATTTTTGGCATCTGTTGTTCTTTTTTCAATTGTTTTTGGCGATCACTTGCATCTTATGAAGTCTTCCCTTCACCTTTAGAAACAAAATCTGCGTTTGCCTAGGGATATCCTGGTGTTTATTTATCCCAATCACCCTGCACAGAAATATTAACTGAACCACACTGCTGGATTGCTTGCTTGAAGATCTCAGCATCCTTGGTCATCCACGATCCACTTAGCCTTGGAGCATCACTCTGGTCATTGGTGTGCCTATGCCCTTGGAACTCCCTGGGGTTTTTGAGCTTCATAGATGTTTGAAGATCAGAAAAAAGACCTCCTTCCATATGGATTCAAAATTTGAGCATGGATCTCCATCTGGTGACAACTGCAATTACTTTTCCTTGTTGAGACCCCCCATAACAAAATCAGGATTTTGTCTCCCCTGCATATCTATATAATAGATGCACTGCATCCCCTTTGCTTCACGAGCCTACGAAGACATTGTCGTGAACATCCGGTCTCGGCCAAGAAAATGGTGTTTGGTTAGGTGGCCTTTAGTCAGCTGCTCAAGTCATAAAATTATCGAGGGGCAGCTTAGGCCCAAAGCCTTGGTATTTTTCACGAGAAAATGATTCCCCTTAACCCCCCCCCCCAAAAAAAAGTGTCTTCTGTTTGTCTATCGTTGTAATTATGCTTAACAGTTTTTTTTTTTAGACATTTTCAGTGCTTTTCAAAAAATATGAGCATGTTCATCGGTAAAGTTTTTTTTTTAAATTATTTTTATTCAATTCATTTATATTTTTTGCGCATCAAAACAGTTTGTAGTTGTCTACAGTGTCTGATGCAGATATTTTCCGGCTAGTTTTGAATATCTTCAACTATGCGGAAAGCAGGAAATAACTTCCTCTTTCATGTGATCTTCAGCCCTATTCTTTTGTGGTTCCCACCGGCCTTAATTGTGCTCTTGTCCCAATTGTGTTGATTGTTGATATCACATCATCAGGTTTCTTTTTTGGGACAGAACTTACTCGGATTCCAAACTAATCAAAATGAGCCAAACTTGGGACGCTTCTCAGTGTAGAGACCAACCCATTAGTTGCATTCCTTTTCTCCCCTTTTTGTTGGTCATCCCGATCAGTTGCATTCGACAACAATACTTTTTCTTGCACATTGGAATACAAAGCCATTTGTCTGCAAATTTGCTGAGTTAATGATAAATAATTGTATATTTGTTAAATTTGAGATCTAATTCCAGATGAATTTATCGCGTTCGAAATGGGAATCAGCATAACCCCAAAAACCCTCTCTAGAAAAAAATATCAGATGAACTATGAAGATATATGGTGAATATTAATCCAGGGTTTCTCAAAGATTCGTCTAAGATCTGTACAACAATTAAAATTTTCAATCAAGAAAGTAAGCCAGAATGCTATACAAGTAAAATGTAGATAAGCATATCCAATGATGTAACTTACAGTAATGAGAAACCTCATATCTGTCTCATTATCGTGCCTCTAATTTCAGCGACTGCATATTGTGGCTTATCCAAATTGCTATATATGAACACGGAGTAACTTGCATCATTAGGTGTTGGACGTATAAGTCAGAGACTGAAGGACCAAACCTTCTTCCCTCTGATATATATCTTGCTCAGTCTTAAATGACCATGTTCACATCTCGGTCCTTGCAAAAGTATCGCCAATTTGAGTTTTGCCGCTGAAAATCGATGACGAAACTCAAATAGGCGATTTCTTTTCTGAACCAAAGCGAACTTAGGGTAAAATGAATATTGATAGTATAAGAACTTAGTGCCTTCACCAAGTGATTCTACATCTGCGAATAAACTTATCTGACGAATTTACGTATCTATTCCAGAAACTCCGAAATTGTGGGAATCCAATTTCAAGCCATGGCTTCGCAGGGCCATTAAAATGTATAACAGCAGCAGATTGCAGTCTCTCTATGTTGATTTCTTCTGATTGATGGCGATAGCCTAAATCTGTCACAAGCCATGCTGAATCTATGGGATGAACATGACCCTGGAAGGCAATCAAGGCCGGTGGAAGCACTCCTGGGTTCCATAATGCTAACCCAGACTTGAGGTTCTGAGAAAATAGATAACATACAGATTACGGTGTCACGAGACAACAGAACGGAGCAGCAAAAACACAAAACAGTTCTCTGTAAGAAAAGATGTGCAAACAAAGTGTAATTTATTGGTTCGCTTCATCAGTTAATTTGTTTCTAATAGTTCTGGTCATCTGGGTTTTCAAAAGATGACCTTAGTATTATTTTGTTTCTTGAATTTTTTTTTTTTTTTATATCCCTCCAGTTTTCAAAAGTCCTATTCTGATAAAATTCATCCTTTCTGAGACCCCCAAAAAAAAAAAATTACGGAAGTTTTGTAAATGGAGAATATAATGTTAGGAACAGTTTCGCCTCCTTTAATGGATTTAATTTGCTGGGTAGGACTTAGATTAGTCTGGTTTGGACGGTGCTTTTAGAGAGACTTATTATTTCAAAAACTAATGTGTGTAATGTGCCTTGTATGGTGTCTAAGAATTAAGTTATGCATCGTCGATGGCTTATAAAAGGTATTGTAGGAGCTTTTTCTTTATTTTATATATATATATATATATATAGAGAGAGAGAGAGAGAGAGAGATTTTTTAAAAAAGCAACAATATTATAAATGTTTTTACGTCGGAAGGCTTTATATCTGTTTTCAACATCTGCTGCGCATGGTTCGAAATGAGGCACCTTTTGGAGAAGAAATGCAAAGTTGACCTTTTATGTCTATGGTTCCGTCTTCAAGTATGAAAATCTCACTGGAAAAAAGAAAGTGCTATCAAGTATACTCACAAGTTTCAACCATTGAAGGTAGGTCTGAGTGATATTTGTTCTCCTCCAAGCTTGAAGATCAAATACATTGACGCCATAGAGCCAAGCACATTGATGAGGGTTAAAGTAGGATGATATAAAGGGATGAGAAAAGTTGAAGTAGTTTGTATATTTACTGTCAGGGCAACAGGTGTCTCCATCTCCACACCACGACTTGAATACTGAACCACTGACTTTGCCACTAAGATCAAGATCCCACAAAGAAGAGATGTCGTGTTGTACTACAACATCGTCATCCAACAACACTATCTTGCTGAGATCTGGAAACAACTGTGCCAAATAAAACATAATTTAGAATATGAAACCACCATCATCTAGCATTCGGACTTTGCTATTAGTGAAACAGATGCATACAAATGTGTGTATTTAATTTGATGTCTGAAAAATACGACTGCTTATAATTTATTACACCTGAGGTCACGTTGGTATAATCCTCGGGTCAATAAAATGAAAAATCATAGAGAATGGATTTACGAAAAACAAAATATAAATAATTTATAAAATATCTGCCCATTTTATCTTTATTATCGCTACTCAGTAGTAGCGTACATACAATTAACAAGCTAAGCCTATTGACTTGTAACCTGTTATAAATTTGAGAGACCAATTCGTACCGAAAAATAAATTAAAAAATTAAGATTAAAGCATAATTAAACAATAGACATCTTTCAATGACGAAATCGTGTGTTTACTAAAAAGATGATTAATTACCTGAGGGATATACATTCGAAGATGATTCATCAAGGAAAAGCTGCTTGGCCCTAAAGCTGCCACGAATTTGCTTTGCTGTCCAGTATGACCAATCTCGTTTTCTTTAAACTTCTTGTGGAATTGCTTCCCAATGTGGTGATTAACTTGCATCATCTCTTTAATACCTGCATTCACTTCTTCGGACCAATCATATTGGTGCAATCCCCTAACTTCCAAAACTGCTGGTTCAACAGTATTGGTGGCAAACCAAGCATGCATTGGAGTGTAAGTTTTCTTGTCAGTAACTATGTGGAAGACTAGTTTTTCAGGGTTGGCTACATTTTCAACTGCGGAGGCCACAACAACAGAAGCGGCAAGGACATTATCAGTTATGAGAACTAGATGGTGAAAACTTTCACTGACAAGGCGAGACACGTATTCAGGAGGAGGGAGACGAGATCGTGCCATGGCATTTACAGCATATTCTTCAGCTAACTTGAGAGAGAGACAGTGTAGGGTTTTGGGGACACCAAGTGAAGCTAAGTGCCAGAAAACGGATTCTTGCTGTCTGGCTGATTGAACCTTGTGTTCCATCTGTGATAGCTGCATATAATGAAGAGAAAGAAAGTGTGAAGTTAATGACGATATCCAATTAATATATACAATTCTAAGAAAACTTGAAAGAAATTTAGGTACTCTTTCACTTATTTATAAAATGAAATAACCTGCATATGACGTGATTTTTGTCACGTTATCGTCACTTTACTTGAAGTTTAACTTGAAATAATCACGAACTCGTAATTTATACAATATATCTACGTATCTCAAAAATTCAACTCAACCATCATTCAAAAACTAGAACAAAATGAGAGATACTAATAGAAACAAACAAGGAACGAAATTTCCGATAAAGGGGAAGTGGTTAAAAAAGCAGAATGAATCAGTAATTTTTATTTACCATGGCTTTGGTTTTGAATGCAAATGCCCTAAGGTCTTGTCCTTTTGACACCATCTCATTCACAAGCTCGTTGAATGAGTCGGCTTCCCCTTCATTAACCTTATCACCCTTTGCCTCTAGAAGCGCTCTAGTCAGCTCATCTCTGAGTTTCTTCACACATACAAGACAAGACATCACCACAGTAAAAACAAAAACTAATGGAATCACTTAAAATACTATTCATATAGTATTTATTATTTATATGGTCCTATTTATAAAACACTTTAATGTATTTTATACAGACTAAAAAAAACCTTTAATTGCATTAATTTTTTATTAAAATATAATACTTAACTTTACCCTTATTTAATATATACACCTTTAAAAAAAATATTCACACTATAATAAATAAAAGATAAAATAGTAAATTTATACTAAAATTTTAATAAAGTGATTTTTAAATAAAACTAAAAAAACTTTTTTTGTTTTTATAGGACTAGAAAGTACTATTGAGCAATATCATTTTGTTTACATAGTTATCTTCATTTTCATCTCTTGAGATTTACGTAATAAATGTTTTTAAAAAGAGTCCACAACGGCTTTTATACGTCATCTGAGAGTGACAGATGGGGCACCAATCGTAATTTTGAATTTGATGCTTTTAGGGATAAGAATAAAAGAATAAGATCCCCAAGGGTAAGGAGCGGATATATGAGTAACAGGGTGCGGGGAGACGCGTGGAAGCAGCCAAAATTGTAGTGGAGAAAGTCGTTATGCCCCCAATTATTACTAATGGCTGCGTTATTTGCCACTGCTTTCACAAAAAGGCTAATAGGATAAACATGATTGCGGTCCAACTGGACACGTGTGTTGGGAAAACCGCTAGTATCACTCAGTGCCGACACCAAAAACTTGCGCCAGTTCACAATTTCACCAAAAAGTATTCTTAAAATATTGAGGAAGGGTAATTGTGTAATTGACTAATTGGAGTCCGAACACTCACCATAGGTGCGTCACTTCCGCTGAAATATCTCCATCCTACGCAATCTGCAACGGACATTACATTATATACATTACATTTCATGCTCGCCCATGTTTTCTGAATGATATACAGCCAATCATATTTCTTGACACCAAACTTAAAAAATATTTTAAGAAATTACATACTCTATTCTAGTATTGCGTTTTCTCACACATAAATTTTCGACGGAAGGCAAGCTAAAAATTATAATTTAAATTTTAAATTAAAATATTAGATCATTACTAAAAATAATTTTAAAAAGTAAAATAAATTAATTATCTACAATAAAGTAATTATTTAAGGAATAAAAAAATTCACGTCTCGTGATTGTTATGAATTGTAATAAAATTTCTTGTATAAAGTTGAAAGTAACCTTGCGTCGTGATTTGACTTGATAGTACGTCTTGCACCGAGTACATGGTAGTTTGTAAACACTGAAGTTTGGTATATTACCTCATGCCCAATAATTGACGACCCAGGACCCCACAAGCCAACCTTGAAAACACCTCACTTCTCGCAAATTTCAGCTTATTCTTAAAATCTTTATATATCGAAACACAATATTCGAAAACAGAGCAATTTGCACTTTACGCTATCACTATGAATATGCTCATGTAATATATCTATAAGAAAATAACATTTATATGAATCGCTATATGAAATAACCAAATACTCTCCCTATTTCAGTTGAAAAATAACAATCATAATAACAAGAAAAATTTTATCAGTGCTAATTAACTTTCCAATATGACAATTAAGAATAGGTTTTAGAACTTGCAAAAAGTTCATTTCTAATCTTTTGAATAAAAAACAATCGGTTGGCAAAGGAAATAAAAAACAACTGCAAAAAGATTGAACAGACAAATACGGAAACAATTAGGACAAAGAGTGTAGCAGAAAAAGCAGAATCACCTAAAGAGGAGCATACAGAAGTGGATTCCAGGACCAAAATGGCGAATCTCAGGAAGAGGAACGGCAGTACGATCGCCAGAAGCAGCACCACAGGCAGCAATGTCCTAGCGGAAATCCGACGACCAGAGGCGCTGGCGGTGGCGGCCGTCTTGGTCGAGCCTTTACCGGCGGCGCTGTTCGATATAGTCACTCTCTTGATCCCGCTCGCCGATATATAGAACTTCATCTTCTGAATTCCATCAATCCAATCCTTCTCCAATCCTTCTTCTCCCTCGTACGTGTTGTTCGGATCGTATCAGCCAGAGATCTGAAGCTTCATTAGCTCAGCGACAAGTAATGAGTGAGTGATTCAGTGAGAGAAGTACAGAAAGCGCGCGAGCGACCGGAGAGAGAGAAACAGAGAAAAGGAGAGTAAGTTTGTTGCATCTGCAGAGCACCAATGAGTTCACGGGTTTCGAATTTTTCTTTCACAACAATATTCTTGGAAGGATCAGAGCGAAAATGAATTTTCTTTTCTTTTCCTTTTAATTTTCCGGGAGGAAAGAAATTTTCCCAGAGGGGAGAAGGAAAACGCCAAACGAAGCCGCGTTAAAGTCCGCGGGAAATTATCAGAATGGCTAAAGCTTGGAGACAGCACTTGCTATATATACACACACAACGCGATGCGTTTTATAGAGAGATTTGCGTGCTTGTCTGTTTGCCACTACTTTCGACTTTAATTACGAAAGTGACCCTTGTTCCTTCCCCTCCCTCACCGACACCTCCTTCGGGGATTTATTTTGGGTGGTGTCGGTTGCAGGCTTGCAGCATAGCCTGGCCCTGCCTGCTAGATTAACGTGTTGATTACGTTTGAAAAACGCCAAATAGGTCTTGTTAACTTTTTGGCCAAAAGATTTTTTCAAGGAATGTTTGGATATGATTAAAAGTATTTTTTAAAAATATGTTTTTATAAATTGATATAAACCCCGGAAAAAAGACAGAAAAATGCAATTTTAACTTCAAAATCCCCAAAACGTCCGTCTAATTCAAGAAATCCCATTTTGGTACCATGAGACCAAATTGAGATTATTATGAGAAAAGAAAAGACCAAATTGCCCTTCATTTTAAATATTATTTTTAAAATATCACAGCCCCTATTGGCTGGCCGGTCACAGGACCTCCGGCGGCAGCGGTCACCGGACCTCCGGCGACTGGCCAACAATTGGTCATCGGAGCTCCGCCGGTCGGAAATTTCTTTTTTGAAAATTTTTATAATTTCAATATAACGGTTAACAACTTTTGTAATGCTATTAACAACTTCAGTATAGCAATTAACAACAGCTTTTCTAGGAAATTCAACAAACTCCGGTGACCGGAAACAATTTTTTAAAAAATTTTACAACTTCAATATAACGGTAATAACTTTTGTAACGCCATTAACAACTTCAGTATAGCAATTAATAACAGCTTTTCTGGAAAATTCAACAAACTCCGGCGACCGCAAACAATTTTTTTGAAAATTTTTACAACTTTAATATAACGGTTAACAACTTTTGTAATGCTATTAACAACTTCAGTATAGTAATTAACAACAGCTTTTCTGGGAAATTCAACAAACTCTGGCGACCGGAAACAATTTTTTTGAAAATTTTTATAACTTCAATATAACGGTTAACAACTTTTGTAATGCTATTAACAATTTCAGTATAGCAATTAACAACAGCTTTTCTGGGAAATTCAACAAATTTCGGCGACCGCAAACAATTTTTTTGAAAATTTTTACAACTTCAGTATAACGGTTAACAACTTTTGTAACCCTATTAACAACTTCAGTATAGCGGTTAACAACAGGTTTTTGAGTTATATAATTTTTCAAAAAAATCTGTTGTTAACTGATATACTAAAATTGTTAATAGCGTTACAAAAGTTGTTAACCGTTATATTGAAGTTGTAAAAATTTTCAAAAAAAATTATTTCCAGTCACCGGAGCTTGTTGAATTTCCCAGAAAACTTATTGTTAATTGCTATATTGAAATTGTTAATAAAATTATAAAAGTTGTTAACCGTTATACTGAAGTTGTAAAAATTTTCAACTTTAGTATAACGTTAACAATTACGTTTTTTCGAAAAAATTTTACAACTTCAATATAACGGTTAACAACTTTGATATAGCAGTTAACAACAAGTTTTTAAATTCAAAAAGTGGCATTTTTATAACTTCAGTAATGCCTCTAACAAACTCAAAAACCTGTTGTTAACCGCTATACTGAAGTTGTTAATAGGGTTACAAAAGTTGTTAACCGTTATATTGAAGTTGTAAAAATTTTAAAAAAAATTGTTTCCGATCGCCGAAATTTGTTGAATTTCCCAGAAAACTTGTTGTTAATTGCTATATTGAAGTTGTTAATAGCATTATAAAAGTTGTTAACTGTTATAATGAAGTTGTAAAAATTTTCAACTTCAGTATAATGTTAACAATTACGTTTTTTTTTTAATTTTTACAACTCCAATATAATAGTTAACAACTTTGATATAACAGTTAACAACAAGTTTTTTGAAAAATTGAAAAAGTGGCATTTTTATAACTTCAGTAATGCCTTTAACAAACTCAAAAATCTATTGTTAACCGCTATACTGAAGTTGTTAATAGGATTACAAAAGTTGTTAACCGTTATATTGAAGTTGTAAAAATTTTTTAAAAAATTATTTCCGGTTGCCGGAGTTTGTTGAATTTCCCAGAAAAGCTGTTGTTAATTGCTATACTGAAGTTGTTAATAGCATTACAAAAGTTGTTAACCGTTATATTGAAGTTGTAAAAATTTTCAAAAAAAAAATTCCGACCGACGGAGCTCCGGTGACCAATTGTCGGCTAGTCGTCGGAGGTCCGGTGACCGGCCGGCCAGTAGGGGCTGTGATATTTTAAAAATAATATTTAAAATGAAGGGCAATTTGGTCTTTTCCTTTCACATATTTATTTTCTACTACCTCCATTTCTAATTATAAGAATTAATTGACTAATTTGAAAAGATTAAAGAAATAAGTTAAGTTCGTTATGTGTAATAAATATGTATTATTATTCCTAAAATATCCTTACTAATCAAGTGTGTTGGCTATAACTCTGGACTACCTTAAAAAAATGTATAAATATTAAAGACAAAGTGAATTAAAATCTTATATTAAAAATTGGAAATAGTATATCATAAAATCAGTTTTAAAATTGTGATTTAATTTTTATCCAGATAATACACACACATATGTATGGCGGTCTGCTAATTGGGTTTAGTACATGCACTATAATAAAGGATTTATTATATTTATGCCCGTACTTCTCGAGATGCCGGAATTGCTTTGTTCCATTTTCGTGGGTTTATATGTCTGCCTAGCTAGTTAAATAATTATTAATATTTAGTTTTTTTTTCATTTTATTATTATTTGGGTCTCAAAACCAAGTGAGGAGAGAGTCAGGATAAATTTTAGAGCTTATTAAACACATATATTTAATATATTACTCCTCCAATCCTTAATATAAAACTTATTTAACTAATTTAACTAGATTAAAAAAGTTATGTAAATTAGTTAATTATAAGAGATATGATATTTCTTCTAAAACACCATAATCATCTTCTTTAATATCCTCTTTCCCTTTTCTATGTGATTATAGTTGAGAAAATATTTATAGAAGTAATTTAGAAAAAATTGATAAATATGATAAATAGGTCTTATATTTAGGATCAAAATCAACTCAACAATTATGTCATATATTAAGAATCGGAGGAGTATTTACTAATTGGTCATATCACGTCTTCAAATACATCATTATTACATCATTTTTATTTTAAACATTTATATAAATACTTATACGTGCATATGCAATTTTTTTTTTAAAAAAAGTCATATTATCATTATTTATTAATATCCATCAAATGTGAAACTCAGTAGATAGCCAGTGGTCTCAATAGCAACGTGACCTCTTTGTTTAGTGTCAGGTTGATGATTCTGGCCCTACATTGATCAAGTGCAGCAATAACAAATCTAATTAAGCAGGGTCAACTATGTAAATCACGTCCATCATTGTATTTTACAAACTCCAGATTTCTGAATAAATTATTAATTAAAAGGTGTCATTATATTTAAGCTTTTTAAGTAGTGCTAGTTCAATAAGAGAAAGGAAAAAAAAAAAACCGGAAGTAAGTATGTCAAATTGATAAAGCAAACAAAATGATAATCTTATAATATTTCTGTGTGCCTTTTTTTCCCTTATAAATCAAAATATTCTCAAATCTTTTTGAGTTTGAGATTAATCCTAGACAGACTAAAAATGTTAAGGTAAAAACCTCTTAATAAATACTTCTTTGATTTTAAATATAAAACCCTTATATACACTAGTATAAAGGCTTTATATTTAGAATCAGAGGAGTATATTTTTTAGAATCTGAACTTATGTTCTTCTCTTATAAGATGAAATTGCTTACCATTCATCTACCTGCATTATTGAATGCAAATGGCAGTCAATTTCTGTTACCATTATTACGCAAGCCTGGAGTCTGTACTGTATGTGTAAATCTTCACCAAATCACTGTACCATCCCAGTTCCATTATGGTCAAAGTCACGGCTGCTTTTGTTAGGTTGAAGAAAAATATTCTTCGTAATGGTATGAAAATGAAATATATAATGTTTATTATAATTAACATTATACTTTTGTTACTATTAGTTTATATTAAGCATGTATGTGGAGAAAAATAATAAGTATTGAAAGTTTAAATTTTAATATAAAATGTACAATTTTAACAGAAGAAATATTATTGAATAAAAAATATTACTAATCTATATTGAAGGCCAACAACAATCTACTGCTTTTAACAAGCGGCATATGGTTAAATAATTTTAAATTCACTGAAAGTGCAAGCTGTACTTTTGGGATGAAAGAATGGGGGGAAACGCTATTGGGATGAAAGAAATATTAATGAGAAATGTCACTCTTCTTTAACGTTGAAATTATTTTGATGTCCATAGAACTAAATTAAGATAATCCACCAAATTACCTTGAGATCAATATTATTGTCGACGAAACTTGGACTTTATAAATAGAGTTTGAAAGCGAGTTATTTTGTTTATATACTACCTCCGGTCTTTAATATTAGACCTTGTTTGATTTTTATTTTGATCATAAATATAAAACCCCAGTTCATTTTGTCTCTTATATTTATACTTTTTTTCTAAGATAATTTTTTTAATAATGATAGTTCTAATAAATAAACTTGATTAGCAAGGATATCTAAGGAAAGACTACATCTATTTATTACAAATAACTAACTTAATTTTTTCCTTTAATTTTCTTAAATTAGTCAATTAGTTTTTATAATTTGGATGGTGGGTAGTATATTTTATGATTATGATGGTTATAATGAGTTAATTCACATGCATCGTTGAGGTTCACAAGCCGTAAGTGTGCTAAGAATTATTTACAACATTTTGATGCTTTTGTAGTTATTATTACTATTTCCGCCCCCCCGGGGTCTGTTTTCTTATTTCCAGTTTCAACTGTAATTTTTTGCTTTCATTGCAATCTTCGAATCTCCTTTTGTTATAACCATCATAACTTCCTGAAACGGAAATTGAGAGAGC